GGCGGAATCGAAGAGGTGGGCACGGAGCCGGATGTTCTTCGTCTTCTTCACTACTCCCTCGATGTTCTTAACGCTCCCCATGCCGCTCGTTTCCTCCTGCTCAGCTCTGGAGCTAGGTCGTTCATCATATTGATTTCCCGACCTAGGTACACGTAGCTGGAGCATTCGGTGATGTTCGTTCCGTTGAGCGTGAATGGGGCATCAGGAACCAATCCGTTTCTCATAAACATCGTCGTTAGGTTCAGCTGTAGACCGACCTTACCACAGGCGCAGTCGAAATCAGCCAGCATTCGCTCCGCTTGCTCGATGTTCGGCGTTATAAGAACGATGTCGTCAGCAAAACGAAGGTGGTGTAGTTGCCGGCCGTCGACCTTCACTCCCATGTCTTCCAGTTGACGCATGACGTTCTCGAGAGCGGCGCTGAAGAGTTTGGGCGAGATGGCGAACCCGAAGAGACTACTCAGTTTTATCAATAGCATTATAGATTACGAGTGAAGTTTCGGAGACCCCATGTACCATTTTGTGCGTAGGCTGTTTGAAACAGCTCGTTTTGCACCAAACAACATAAAGTGCATAACAAATAGCCGAAAAAAAATCAGAAGAAAAATAACAAAAGCCTGATTAATACAGTTCACTAACCTGAATACTAAGTCGTTACTGCAAGAGCTAGCAGGTCCGTGTCTATCTTCTATTTCAGTATTTCTGGGATGTGATCCCAACTCAATCAAACCACGACCATGAATATGCCGTTTTCTCAATATCTCAAATAAGAGTGAAATGTTCGGGTGCCAAATGCTGGGAACTTCGAAGACAAACAACTTGTCAGGAAATGAGAGCTAGCTATAGATGTTCTGGAAACCTTAAAAAGAACAGAACTAACCCGTTCCCTGTCCGACTTGACAGTAAACGGAGGCATTGCATGGACATCAGCTTTATGCATATTCAGTTCCGTCATGGTGTGTGTCACATGACCACACCACTTGCAGACATATCTGAAAATAAATGAAACTGAAACTTTAGGATAAAAGCTGAACGAGATAGTTTCTAAATTTGAACGAAGAAAACACACTACACACTTCCTTCTCCTCATATGCATCTGCTCATTATGCATAAGAAGAATGCTTTCGTCCCCAAACACCATGTTGCAATCTCGACACATCAATCTCCCCACCTCCTGCAAAGCGGTAATTAGGTGCTTGAAACTGGCAAGATCATTTCGCCATTGAAACGCCGGAAGAACAAATGGATCTCGGAATGCCAATGCTGAAGAAGTATTCGGAAATGCTTAGAATTACAAACTACCTCGGGTCCGTAACGTGCCAGAAGTTTGAGCCTGAGATCATCGTTTTTCTTGTGCGCACGCAAATGATTATCCATTGCGGCAGGACTATCATCAATCAGCATCAATCAGCATTCCACACAATCCGCAGGACTTGAACCGTTGCTCCCTGACCACTTCGGTGGTATCTCCATTAACATCTGCATCAAGTGGTACACTAGCTGGTGGATCCGTACACGCTCAAAAAACACTATTACGTCATTTCAAACAGCAGAACCAAAGCGCGTTATGGGAGGGAAACGATTTGGCTCTTCAATTTCCAAGTGATGTTTTTCACTCGGCTGAGCCTTGCCATGTGTTGTGTGCAAAATAGAATTTGGATATAGCCGCGTTTGAATGGCTAGGTAGGGAAACTTTCAGGAGCCAGTGATTAGCCGCAATGAGGTGTAATTTACCTTGTGGTTGCGAGAATCAGCTAAGCATGTGCGGATGGCTTAGTAGATTTGATACATAAAAAAGCATTTCATAAAAAAAAAAGTGGGAAAGCTGTCTGTGACCACGCTTAGTCGCATGTTGAATGTGTCCTTCATCGTAGACAACTGCAAGACTTCTAGGATTTTCACTCCAACAGCGACAAACGATGACAGCACCACAGTACTTCCAAAAACTATACAGTGCGTTTCATAATTATAAGCTCCCCCTCAAATTTTGCAGTTCCAGAATAAGTAGCCATTTAGGGAATTTTTCTAGCATTATCAACGGATTCCCCAGCACGAATAACCCCCGTTTCCAAATTTTGGCAGCAGCATCATTTTTCTGAACTTTTTTATAACAGTTTTTTTTTTTTCAATTTTACAGCGTTTCATAATTATAAGCCCTCCCTGAGAAAATAAACAATTAATTATGGAGGACAAGAAAATTCGTGTTTCAAGGGACTTGTAAAGGCTAGAATATGTAGCAAATGCATCTCCAATTCTTATCACCAAATGGCTCGGGGTCGCCTGCTATCTTCTGATGAACAGGCTCAGATTAAAGCTCTTCGTGAAGCTGGGCTTAGTAAGAAAGCCATTTCCAGACAATTAGGAAGATCTGTCTGCTCCATTCGAAGAGTATTGGAAAGACAAGACGTCTACAGATGCAACACAAGCTCTGGACGCCCACGAAAGATTACAGCCCACGATGAGCGAAGAATTCTGAGGGCTGTTTCCAACAGCACCTCCTCATTGAACCAGATACGATCGGAGTTAAACCTTTCCGTGTCAAAAACTACGGTTTGGAGAGCAGTGAGGAGAAGCGAGGACATCGTCAGGCAAGCTTTGAAGAAGGCGCCACGGATTACCGACCGCCACAGAGAGGCTCGACTAGAATTTGCAAGGTTGAACTTAGGAAGAGATTGGACGAAGGTAAGCCTGCGTCACAATCTCACCATACAGCTAAACAATTTCGTTCAGGTCGTGTTTTCGGATGAAAAAAAGTTCAATTTGGACGGACCTGATGGAAACAAGTACTACTGGCGTGACCTGCGCAAGGAGCCGGTTCACTTCAGCCGTCGCAATTTTGGTGGAGGAAGTGTGATGGTGTGGGGTGCATTTTGCAATGACGTCGTGCTCGAGCTAGCCTTCGTGAGCTGCAGAATGGACTCCAAGGAATACCAGAACGTCTTAGAGCATCATCTGGTGCCCTTTCTGAGCCGGGGTCGTCATCATAATTATGTCTTCCAACAAGACAACGCTGCCATTCACGTAAGTCGTTCAACAAATGAATGGCTGCGATCCCAAAACATAAGCGTTCTGCCATGGCCAGCCTGCAGTCCCGATCTCAATCCGATGGAGAACATCTGGGGCATCATAGTCAGAAAGGTTTACGCGAACAATCGTCAGTTCCAGAGTACGGAAGAGCTGAAAAAGACGATCGTCGAAGCCTGGAAAGCAATTGATGAAGAACTGCTTCGAAACCTAGTTTCTAGTATGCCTCGTAGACTCTTTGATGTTGCGCTCAAACAAGGAGGAGCCATCGATTATTAACTGTTGTACATATGCCATTTACATTAATAAATTGTTCATGTTCCCAGGGGGTGCTTATAATTATGAAACGGTGCGAAAACCAATACCTACTTAAAAAATTTTATAAAAAAGTTGAGGTGAACGGTATTGCAACCCAAATTCGAATACGAAGGTTATTTGAGATGAGGAATCTGCAGATATTTGCCAAATAATTTCATCTTAGCTGCTTGCTTGAGAACTGCAAAAATCGAGGGGGAGCTTATAGTTAATGACAGCGCACTGTATATTATACTCTCTAATGGTCGCGCGTCAGGCTCTGCGTCACTCGTAATTATGAACCATGTCACATTTGAACACAAGACAAAACGCAAGTGGATGGCCCAAAGAACGTATATTTTACCCAGAAAACGTTCCTAATGTCTCCATTCGTATAACTTGTTCAATAGCGTGACGAGCAATGTTCTCCTGCCTTATACGAGACGAGATAGAATACATACGATCTCTTCGTCTTGCTAGTTCCTCTTCGCGTCTTCGCCACTCCGCACTGATCGTCTCGATATGGTCGAGAATCTAACAAAACAATGTACTCAACTAGATACGCTAAGTGCAATGAATTGCTGGAATAGAGAAAAAAAGCAGAAATATCGACAAAACGCAATGAGATATGACAAGCAAAGGAGAATGGTCATTTGTACTGATGAGCTTAACACATTGACGACAGCCCGTTTTGCGTGTAACTCGGTATCTTCTGTTTACTTATTTTTTTCACAATCTCATTACTCCTTCAATAATTACACTACTGTAATTGGTGCACGCTTTACGGAATGTACACAGACAGTGGAATACGAAAAATGCCCAAGAAATGGAATAAAACAAGCCTGATCCGCGTAAAAATCTGACGCGCATGCGCGTCACGCTGTCATCGATGTGTTAATATACAGCTACACCCTTCGCGACACTCAATGAGCATATTTTCTAAGGGGAAGACTAGGAGAGTTGCCGGGATACGATAACAATCCACAAAAAACAGTTTTTAAAAGAAGCGCAACAATACCCGTGGGTAGTCAAGCAACTTTCTCAATTTCTAGTTCTCAATGATTTAAATGGTTCGCGGAACTCGGAACTTTTACAGTTGCAACCTTTCTTTCATGGCATCCCTGCGCAAGCGCACGGAAATTAACTTCGCATTGCTTTCAACGCCCACTCCATAAAAAAACTATGAAACGTTTCGATAAAAGACCCACGAACTAACTTTCCCTGGCATGGATCCACAGATGTCATCCAGTTTAGCGTGTCACTATTCTAGGTCCCGCTGTTTCATGAATGTTTTAGAAACTACGGCGCATAGCATGCCGAAGATCACGAACACTGCGCCAGGTCATTTTTGTATGAAGAAAAGTCTTGAAAACTTCCACTACTGAGAAGCGACCTAGTCAAGTATCAGAAGACCTGGGAAGTAAAATACCAAAAATCCCCAAATAATACGAACTAGACATAGGCATCATCAGGCCGTATTGCACGTCAGTTTCT